ATAATTTTTGCAGTTCCATTAAAAGAAACAAAGATTAACTTACACTTTAAGCAATATTTTAAAAAATCTAAATTAATGAATGTCTGGTATAAAAAATAAAGCCATCAAATTATTGGAAATAATCTCAGAGAATATTTGCACAGCCTTAGATTTTGTAACAGATGTGGAGAAATGTAGATCTTCTTAAATATGACAGCATATCCAGAAGCCATGGGAAAAAGAAAGGACATCTTTGATTGCATTTATTATATTCAACTATATTTATTGTTTTCTAAGTGCGCAGTGCTGTTAGTGCTTTTGCCATCACTCTCGCTGTAATTTTTTTCTGATTCTATTGTTTGTATTTTAAATTTGCATTAATATATAGTATTATCAGTATACAAAGAGCTTTTATTGATTAATAAGAAGAAGAAAAATAATTGAAGAAAAGAAGGAGCGAAGAATTTAAACTGACAACTCACAGAGGCTAAAATTCAAACATCAACAAACATGTAAAACTATCTTCAATGTACCTAGTAGGAAGAGAAATACAAAATTAAACTATAGTGAGATTCTATTCTTAACTCAGTAAATAGGTAAACATTAAAAGAGTAAAAATATCCCTTGTTAACAATGCTTAAGAAAAATCAGAGGGAAACTTTCTAAAATCATTTTTGAAATGTCATCTGTCAATAACTGTAAATATTAAAAGACACATGCCCTTTGACTAAGCAGCCCATTATTTTTACCTAGGAAAGAAAAAACTAGCATACCTTTAGATTTTATTTATACACACACACACACACACACACACACACACACACACTTATATAAGGCTGTTTTTTGTAGCATGGTAACACCCAAATGTCTACTAATTGGAAAATGCTGGATAAATTATGTTATACCCATGCCTTGGAGTTGTAAAAAGTATAAGTTATAAGTTGTAACTATATCCACTAATCTGAAGAGATGTTTATAGTATACTGTAAGTATAAAAAGAAAGTTTCAGTGTAATGGGAAGAAAAATGGTTCCATGTTAGTTAGAAAATAAATTTTAAAGTTTGCATGTGTTCTATGTCTAAGTAAGACTATCTGAGGGAAAAGCCATTTGTCTGAGAATGAAGAAAGGGCTAGGACTAAAAAGATCAGGCTACTAACAGTGGTTACCACAGGGGGATGAGAAAACAGATGGGTTGAGAAATGTGAGATCATTGGATTTGTATTAATAAAAACCTTTATTTTTCCCATTAAAATAAGTTTACATCATCTTGTGCAATTTGAAAATAGAAAGTTTAAATTGTTGAAGCTATGGTGATGATATGAGGCCGATTTTGATGTTGAAAAATCCCAACAGGATCTAAGGCAGTATGGTGAGCAAAATGTTGTGACTACTGAATGAGTCACACCAGTGGCTCCAGGGGCCTTGCAATTCTGCACTGTGGGTGGGCCTTTGCCAACTGCCAAGCATTAAGATTTGAAAATTGTGGCACATTGTGTCAGCTCACTTCCAGCTGACTTCAGTATGAGGCTTCCTCAGGGAAGAAGATAGTTTTGCTATCCTTAAGGAAAGACAGAAGATGGTGTATAAAGAGAGAAAATTGATAGAGCAAAGTTGTGGAGAGTTAGGTCAGGAGACAATGCAATTAGGCCTTTCTGAGCAGAGGGCCAAGAAAAGGGAAGGGACAGGTTTGTTTTAAGAAATGCAAGTTATGATGAAGGTTCTTCTCTTTTAATCCTTCAATGATAAAAACATTCATTGCCTAGTTCTTACTTTTTGCAAGAAACTGGTTTGAAAGCTTTATACATTTAACTAATTTAATATTCTAATGATCTTATGACATTGGTCCTATTGTTATCTTCATTTTAAAAGGAATGAAGTAACTGAGGAACAGAGAAATTGATAACCTAAGATCTTACAGCAAGTCAGTGATGGAGTGAAATTTAAACCCAGTATGGCTACTTAAATTAAGATCTCTCAACAACAGGCTTCTAATACCTCCTGGAATATACCATGTTATACAATACTTCAAGCCTAAGAAGTTTTCAGTTTTTATGGAATATAAGCTTCTCATCCAATATTTCCATTTTCTTTTCTTTTTTTCCTGCCTAACACAACACCTGTCATTTTTCATAATACCATAAGCAATACTTTCATAATCTGCATTAGCATATTAGGTTAAACCATGTAAAACGGCCAATCTTCAAGATAGTATCTAAACACTGGAATGAAATCTTCTTTTCTCATGGGCCTTATATTTATGAAGTTCCTTAACTTCCTCTTCCTTATACCAAACCAGTTTTCCTGGGAGGACTTTGTAGACATTGGCCTTACAAGTATATCAGTATCTGTTCCTTGAAATGGCTTGTCACACTTGATTTGATCACCACTATTCTCAGATAAGACACTCTAAGTACAGCTTTGGTTTTACAATGTAACCAACTAAAACTTGGTAAAAAGATCTCACTCATTTATGGAATATAATGAACAATATAAGCTGATGAATAAAAACAGATCCAGAGACAGAGAAATATTGATTAGGCCATCACACCTCAGAGGGAAGGTAGGGGAGGGTGGGGGTAAAGGGGAAGAGATCAACCAAAGGACTTGTATGTATGTATTTATATAAGCCTAACCAATGGACACAGACACCAGGGGGTGAGGGCATGAGTTGGGAGAATGGGGGGGGGGAGGTAGTGGGGGGATAAGGACACATATGTAACACCTTAATCAATAAAAAAATAAAAATAAAAACTTGGTAAGAAGGAGGACAGTTTCTTACTGAAATAGCTACCACAATGTTCCTTTGTTTTGCACTCCAAAGATTTCACAACTAGCAATAAATGATGACAGTAAGAGTGGGTGAAAGGTATAGCTTTGTTCTGAAAAGAAGGGCAATTACAATTATGAAAGAGGATATTGGAAAAAAAAATCACAGGGGTATTCTCAGGCATATTAATTTTAGTAACAAACATGCGGATTTAAAGATCTGGAAATAGATTCCATTAAAAATATTCGATACTTACATATGACTTGGAAAATCTTCAGGACCTACCTACTTCCAAGGGCTGCCCAAATACCACAAAAGTACATCTATCTCAGTTTGAAGACTGTGAACCTAACTTTCTAAAATTAGTTTAATGATATCTCTTTAGTTTAACTTGCTAAGGTATTTTTAATAATGTGATCTCTTAAATGGAATGTTAAAAGGGAATATAAACCAGATGTAATTAGCATCAAGATATTTGTTGAAATTGACAGCCTACTTCTAAAATTTATATGGAAATCCAAAGGACCAAGAATAGGTAAAGCAATCTTGAAAACAAAAGGATATGGAGGATATGGAAGACTTAATATACATATCACTCATGAAAAAGCAGTGATAAGATACTGTAGCATGGGCACAAAAAATAAATAGACCAATGGAACAGAAACAATTCCATGCATGTATAGTCATCTGATATATGAGAAAGATAACATTCTGTTATGGTGAAGGAAAGAAAATTTTAAGGGTGCTATAAAATTGTGTCAAAATTATATTGACTCCCAAAATCTCACATCACACGTATTTCCAGGTTAATTGTAGATCTGTATGTGAAAGATAAAAATATCAAGTTTGCAGAAGAAAACACAGGGAATAACTTCAATAGCCTTGGTGAAGTCAAAATATTTTTAATGGATCGTTTTGAACCCCACAGACACATTATAATAAAAGCATAATATGCTAATTAGACCAATGTCCTTCTGGATGTCCTTCAAGCCCAGGTCCCAGGTGCCAGAGGGAAGCTGATGTTCCAGCTGGGGGAAGGCCTGCCTACTCCTGCAAGAATTTCATGCATTGGGCTTCTAATCCATAATAATAAAAGTGTAATATGCTAATTAGATTGATCTTTCCAGATGAAACTCTGGCAATGGGGGCTGCACTGTAGCTGCAGGGGCTGACCTCTAGTCATTTGTGCATTGAGCCTCTAGTAAGCTATAAAAGCTGAAGCGCTTTCCCAGTATGCACACTCAAATTATAATTTTGTGCTAGTATTTTATCAATTTATGCTGTGTGTGAATCAATGTTATCTCTAATGTGCAAAAAATAAGATTTGTTATTCAATAGCACCACACTCATGGAGATATATATATATATATATATATGTATATATATATATATATATATATATAATTTGTTTGCTATTATTTGATTGGACTAACTATATTGGATAAGCCACAGTTATAGATTGTGTGCTAGCAAATACAGTTAAATTTTTTTCCATGTGTGTATAAATAAGTACTTTTTTTTGTTTTTTTTTTAGTTATTTGAATTTTCCAAATTTGTACAATGATCTTATAAGGATCCTAGAGACCTGGTGCACTTACAAGGGCAATAAAATAAGAAACTAATGACCTAATATACCAGATACAGACTAATTTTAAATTTAATTTTGAACCTTGGTCCATCTTTAACTTTACCTGAGTGGTAAGTACTCTTTTCTTGTATTCTAGCCATATAATTTATGTTTTTTACACCTAAAAGCAACAAGTCTGCTTGAGATGGCTTTTCAATCCACACGTTGTTCTCTGGTGACTTATCTGCAGCTCAAACCTTTCCCCAGTATTACTGTTAAGAGACATGCCTCTTTCTGCTTCTGGTTTAGATAGAACTTTCTTCCTTACCAAGAAGAAGACAAGTCACATATACATGGCACAAACTAAGTAGAGCTGAAGTTTTAAAATTCTTTATTACATTCACTTTAGTAATCTTAGTAGATGAATATAAGCTAGTTAGCAATCTGGTTTGGCCACTGAAAAAATAAAACATTTTGAAACCTCACCTAACTCTGCAGTAAGCAGACTAGAACTAGTTATGCTTTCATCTCCTTAAGAAAACAGTATGATTCATCATAAGAACCTTCACTGGTGCTCTATGGCCTTTTAACTATGGAGAGATTAATTCAAACTTCTGAGGAAATCCCAAGGCAACTGCAGTCAAACAGTATCTGGAAAGCTGTAGGTAGAACGCATTACATAAAAGCTCAAATTCACGTTTTCTTACAAGGAAATTACAAACATTTAAGAAACTATTACTCTATTTTGATTCCCAACAGTTATTTATAGCCTTCTTAGAAAATTTTATATTAGGCGTAGCTGTTCTGTTATGAAGTTATATACTTCTTCAATTATTCAAAAATGCAAGTAGCATTTGTGTACATAGTCACGGTTTAACAGAAAGGTAGTTAACTCGAATTTCTGAATTAGGAATAAAGAAAGGTATTAAACATTTTAAAACTGTACAATAATCTAAACAATGGTTTGATAACATCTAGCACTAACGCAAGAATAAAGATGAACTATTTTAAGACCAAACTCAACAAACTGACTTTTAAAGAACACAGCTATCTTAATTCATTAAAGTGTGTTTCACAGCTGCTATGATGTGTCTGGCACTGATTCCAAACATATCCAGCAATTCGCAAGGTTTCCCACTTCGAGGGACTCCTGACACTGCCAGCTGATGGACCAGGATGTCGGGCTCCCCAGAGACAGCTGCACACACTGCTTCTCCAATGCCACCTTCCCGGTAGTGATCTTCCACTGTGATCACCCGGCCGCTGGTAGCTTTTGCATTGGAGATGATGGTGGCAGCATCCAGGGGTTTGATGGTAAACGGGTCAATGACACGGATGGAAATGCCTTGTTCAGAGAGATGGTCAGCAGCTGCCAAAGCTTCATGCAGAGTAACTCCGGCTCCAATGACTGTGACTTTGTCATTGTCACTGTGGCGGATGACCTTGGCCTGTCCAATCTCAAAATGTTCTTCTGGGGCATAAATGACTGCAATTTCTGGTGGGCCAGTCCGAATGAAGCACATCCCTTTGGCATTGGCAGCCAGATAGATAGCATGCTCTGTGGAGACGGCATCGCTCGGGTAGAAGACTGTGCAGTTGGGGATGCTTCGGAACATGGCCAGGTCCTCCAGGGCCATCTGGGAGGGCCCGTCTTCACCAATGGATAGCCCGCAGTAGGAGCCGATCAGATTGATATTGGTTTGGGATATGGCTCCCATGCGGATATGATCAAAGGCCCGGGTCAGATAGGCGGCGAAGGTGCTGACAAAAGCAACGGTGCGGTCGCGCGTGGCGCAGCCCAGGGCCACGCTGACCATGTTCTGCTCCGCCATGAAGCACTCGATGAAACGCTCGGGGTGCTCCTTCTTGAACACCTCGGAGAAGGTGGCGTTCTTCGGGTCGCCGTCCAGGACAATGACCCTCTTATGGGCGTGGCCCAGCTTGGCCAGAGCCAGGCCGTAGGCTTGATCCGTGGCCACCTTGTCGCCGAGCTTGTAATCGGGCAGCGAGGTCATTTTTATGTTCTTGATGCTGATCTGGGGCGAGTCCTCCACGGGGGGTTTCGGGGCGAGGTTCTTGTTGGTCCGTATCTGACTCTCGATCAGCTTGATGATGGCATCCGCCCTCTCTTTGGGCATGGGCTTCCCGTGCCAGTTCTCGGCGTCTTCCACGTTCGGGATGCCCCGGCCCTTGAAGGTCTTGGACACGATGGCCGTGGGCTTGTTTTTGACCCTCGCCGCCTGCCAGAAGGCGTGGCACAGGGCCTCCACGTCGTGGCCGTCCACCAGGTAGGTGGTCCAGCCGAAGGCCTCGCAGCGCTTCTGGTAGGTGTCGGTGCAGTGCTCCAGCGGCGTGGGCCCGCTCTGGCCCAGGCGGTTCACGTCGAAGACCGCCACCAGGTTGTCCAGGCTGTAGTGGGAGGCGAAGGCCAGCGCCTCCCAGATGGAGCCCTCGGAGGACTCGCCGTCGCCCAGCAGGCAGAAGACGCGGTAGCTGGCCTGGTCGAAGTACTTGCCCGTGTACGCCATGCCGCACGCGGCGCCCAGCCCCTGGCCCAGCGACCCGGTCGCCACGTCCACGAAGGCCAGCCGGGGCGTCGGGTGGCCCTCCAGGTCGCTGTGGATCTGGCGCAGGCTCAGCAGGTCGGCCTCGCTGAGGTCGCCCACCTCGGCCCAGGCCGCGTAGAGGATGGGCGCCGCGTGGCCCTTGGAGAGGACGAAGCGGTCGTTGTCCGGGTGCTCGGGCTCCGCCTGCTTGTAGCGCATCGTGTGGAAGAAGAGCACCGCCATGATCTCGGCGGCGCTGCAGCACGACGTCGGGTGGCCGGAGCTGGAGGCGCACGTGGCCCGGATGGAGTGGATCCGCAGGCGGTTGGCCAGGTCCCGCAGCACCTGCACGGTGTCCGCGTCAGGCTTGGGGCCCGCGGCCCCGTCGGCCACGGTGGCACTGTCCATGGTTCCCGCAGAGCGGACGTTGTTAGCAGGCAGCTCCTTGGCGGCCGTTAGTTAAGACAGTCACGTTGGGTCATGTGACGCCCACGTCCTTGCCCTGCCTCCTCGAGGTCAGGAGGTCAGCAACAGGCGGGCCAGGGCTCACGTGCGTGCGTGCGTGCGTGCGTGCGTGTGTGCGTGCGTGCGTGCCAGACTGTGTCGCGAGACTGACCACCAGGATGCATCCCCAACATCCAAATCCTTCCACCACGTGACTGTGATTCTGCTGCTTTTTCTGCAGGTGACCACCTCCTTCCAAGCCCAAGGGAGTGGGTTTTAAATATTTGCTTTGTTACTTGCATGCTCAGCATTATTAACAATGGCTAAATTTTTTGATGCCTTTCCTCATGTTACACATCATTCAAAAGGGAGTTATTCTTATATCTATATGTTATAGGAAACTACTATTCGTGAGGTTGTGGTTCTTTTACATACATTGCTTCTATTTTTGGAAGCCTCACTCTTTACAGCAGAGCACTGATAGAAATTATTCTAAAGTCGCTTTCAATCTAGCCAATTATGGAGATAGTATAATATGTCAACATTGACTTCCTTAGAGCAACTGATGATTCCAACTTAGAGATAAAACTACAATGACAAATTAGACCCAAAAATTACAAGATCAAATCCCAAACTGCTCAATGGCAGGGCAGCTATATTCCTTCAGTATACCTTAAAAATACTATTACTGTTACTACAAATATTAATTTTTTAAACAAAATTAATTTACTTTAGTTTATAAAACTGCACTTATGCCATTGAGTTCTACTGGGAAAGTTTTATGGTTTGTCATAAGAAAAAAAGAAACACAATGACAGTATATCATCTTCCATGCATTGATGTTAAATATCTTGATTCTTGAGTAATAATTCTTAACATTGACCTCACATTAAAATCAGGACACTGAAAAAAAAAAAATGAATAAAAAACAACCAACCAAACAAACACAATACTGGGTTCCACCCCAGACAAACTGAACTTGAATTTCTAGAAGTAGAGCTGGGAAGCTATATTTTTTAAATGCATGCATTGATTCTAAGTGTAGTCAAAGTTGTAAATAGTCACCTGTAGATGCACTAGAGGTTCCTAACGTTGGTTGTACTTTAGAGCTATCTGGGGAGTTTTTAAAAATTTCATGTCTGGGATGCACTCTGAACCAGACGTTTCTGGGTGATGTGTCTGGGCAGCAGTAATATTAAAAGCTCCCCAGACAACTTCAGTGTTCAGTTCAGTAAACAACTAATGTGGGGTTTTGCGACTCTTCATATGTCTCTTACATTATAACTCAGAAAAAATGTTTTAAAATGTAATTTGCTATTTAAACTAGTTTTGTTATTTTCAAGGATACATATACAAATAAATCATAATGGTATGACATTCACAAGATTTTAATACTTGCTGAAGGAATCTTGGAAAGAAAAGTCCTTAAGAGGTCATCTTGTATTCATCACTCCCAGTGCCCTTTGCAAATTAATGTTCACTTATACTTTTAGAAAAAGGAAAAACAAAGAAAAAGTAGAGTTGGACTAGGAGTAAAGGTAGGAATTAGAGGGGGGAAAAACACCCATTCATAGCAAACAACTAGGGAGTGACTGGGAAGCAGTTAATGTTTACAAAGGTAGCTCACTATTATTTTGGCTGAGAAGAATTCTAATAAATCCAATTAATAAACATGATAATTTAAAATGTTCTATGAGATAGTGTTTATATGAAAAAAAAAAAGACCAGTGAAATAGGATATGCTTTATATTTCAAGTTCCCAAATTCTTCCAATCATTTAAAGCAGTGGTAGGCAAAACTCATTAGTCAACAGAGCCAAATATCAACAGTACAATGATTGAAATTTCTTTTGAGAGCTGAAAACTGACTTCTGCGCATGGGCATGAAGTTTCAATCGCACTGTACATGCATGCCTGTATGTGGTATTTTGTGGGAGAGCCACACTCAAGGGGCCAAAGAGCCTTTTGTGGCTCTCGAGCCACTGTTTGCTGATTTAAAGTATTGCACAACTATTTCCCAAAGTATTAAATAGAAAATCTTTAACATTATAAAAGGTCAGTTTTATTAAGAAAAGAATGTGGTCTTGGAGATTTAATATCCTAGATAGTGAATATGAATTCCCTGTTGTCATTCTATAAGACTGTGGATTTTTAAAATAATATTTTGTAAATTACATGTAAAGTATTTTAAAGTGATATTTTTAAAAGAAAGTCTGGAAAGTTTATTAATTTTTAAAAATATTTCTTTTAAGTATTTTCGTCTTTTAGTTCATATTTACAAGTACTAGTATACCATTGAAAATAACCATATAAGTATAGAGTATGCATAATTTGATAATGTAAAATTACATAACGTGATTGTGAACACAACTTAGCCAAATAAACCAAAGACATGATACCACATTCTATTTTCCCTACTAAGAAGAGGTTATCACTTACAAAAGGCAAGCCAAATATTTTTAAGTCAACATGCCAAAAATTTAGTTGTCTTGGAAAAATGTCCATTAGTCATTTTAGAAGTCATTTTGGAAGACAGTCAAAAGTTTTCTGCCAATAGGAAGAAACTATTCATTTGTTATTTTGTGTTTATCCACAAGGAGTAGGGATTAACAAACTCAAGCGCCTACTGGGCTAGAAAGGTACGATGAGTTTATGACTGTCAGATATTATGCATACTCTATACTTAAATGGTTATTTTCAATGGTATACTAGTAGTTGTAAATATGAACTACTGGGCTAGAAAGGCACCATGAGTTTATGATTGTTATATGAGAAAGGTCCTGTGAGAAACTAGAGAATATAAACCCATCTAAAGGCATTTAAAATTTAAAAATTTCTGAACACTTCGTTGGAAAAAAACAAAACAAAACAAAACACGTAGCACGAAACATATCTTCAAGGTGCCAGTTTTGATCCTTGATTTAAAATCGATTTAAACTAAATGTTTTATCTTACCTTTGTGTAATTTATTTACTATTTTTTCAAATAGTGTGGGAAAGTATTTATTGTAGTGTATACTTGAAATAGAAATAAAACCTATCAGCATCACTAATAAAAATAGCTTTGGAGAGAAAATATAAATTGCAGAATCCATAAGTTCACTTTGGTTTTAGTGGAGGAAACAAGACACATAATGATTACTCCAGAGGTCTATAATGTGGAAAAAATATATATACACATATTCACTCTGTGAAGTGAGTTGTATTTAGAGGTTGGGAACACTTAAGTTTACTTATATGTTATCTGAACTGTTAAGTTTTCTTAAAATAAAATTTTGTAAAAGAAATATACAAATGCTGAGTTCATTTTTTCCCTTCCATGTTTTGAATTAGTTTAATAGGCCAAGTATGGAACAAGTGAGGATAAGATTCTTGTGTAAGACAATAGGTTTGGGGGTGGGTAATGTATTCTTGCAAGAATTGGAAATAGTATTCTAAATAGACCTGTTAGCTCAGGTTGTATTGTGGTTGTGTAATTTGCCACCAAGGCAGTTGGTTTCTTTTTCTTGAAAATTTATCAGTTTTTTCCATTATATATTTGGAGCTATATTATTAAGCACACATATATTTAAAATTGAAATGTTTTATCTTTATGAAGTAATCTTTTCTAACTACCATTATACTTGACTTTGTCTTTTTTCTTTAACGTTAATATATCTATGCTAACATTCTTTTCGTTAGTATTTGCTTAGCATACCTGTTCCATCTTTCATTTTTAAATTTTGTCTCCTTATATTTCAGATATCTCTTACAAACAGGACATAGTTGTGTGTTTTAAATCCAATATAATATGTTAAATATTTTAATTAGGGCATTTAGTCCACAACCATATGGATTTAAATCTACAACCCTATTTTTATTTTTTATTTCCCTTAAATTCCTGTTTCTCTTTTTTTAAATTTCCCTGCTTTGAATGTATTTTTAAAAAATTATTCTATTTATTTTCTCTGTTTGTGACCTATTCAGAGAGGTACACCATTTCTATTCTTTTAATGGTTACCCTAGAAATGAAGCCTTTATTCCCATTTTATCTATCTCTATATCTCTATCTCTATCTCTCTCTATCTCTCTCTCTATCTCTATCTCTATCTCTATCTAACAAATACTTAACCAGTCTACACAAACACACACATATCATTGTATTTGTTAAAGCACAGGAAAATATCTTAAAAGACGTCTTCACACTATACTGAGTGGCCAGATTATTATGATCTCATAATAATCTGGCCACTCAGTGTATATCCTATATAACAAAAGGCTAAAATGCAAATGTTTCCCTCCACCAGGAGTTGAACTGCCATGTCCCTTTTCTGTGGCCAGGCTGGCCGGACCCCACCCATGCACGAATTCATGCATTGGGCCTCAAATATATATATAATAATCTGGTCACTCTGTATCTTACAGTAGTTACTGGGTGCCTGAGTGTTGGACTGGAGAGGAGGACCAGGGGGATTCATTCTGTCATTCCTGAGCAGCCCTCCTGGGAAGAGGCCAATCTCTGAGGCAGGTGCCCCAAGAGAAGAGCCTAGCCCGACCCTGGAGTTGTGCACCTGGGCTGGTGCCCAGGACCCGCGTCCTGGGCCCAGGACGCCATGAGCCTGGAGTTTCAGGCGTCAGGGAGCTAGATGTCACCCTCCAGCACAAGCTCTGGGACTTTGCGCTTTGTGATGACCTCCGCAGGGAGGAGGCTGCTGCTAGGCTAGGGCGTCAAAGCCAACGCGGGCCAAAAAGACGAGGTCGCGGTTTCCCGGGACGTTTTAGAGCAGCGTACTCGCCCCGCCCCTTCCGGTCGGCTCCACCCGGCTTCTCCGGGCCGCACGTGTGTTCTGCCGGGATCCCCTGGGTGAGCGGAGGCGCGGCCGTCGGTGAGGTTGCCCGACGCGGAGTGCAGAGCCCCCGGGGCGCGAGGACGTCACCATGGTGGGCCCCTCCCGCACATTTGAACCCGTTTGGCTCCGGAGATGGCTCCGATCGGGACGGGGAGGGGAGGGGGGTGGTCCGGGGAAGCGGGGAGGGAGGATCGCGCGGAGTGACTGTCCTCGGGGGAGCCCAGAGATCCGAGGCCGGGAGGAGGGTCCCAGCCAGACGGCCGGACCTGGAAGCTCTGCTGCTGATTCCCCAGTCCTCGCAGGGCGCCCTGCCCCTGCTGCCCCCCTACTGCAGCGGATGATCCGCAGTTGCACGTTGTCTCGCTATTCGGCAAAACTCGTCAAAAGCTGCTTCCATCCCCCTGTGCCGCCCTGCCCGCCGGTGTAGACTGCGTGGGCCCCGCCGCCTCTTCCTTGGTCTCCAGTCACCGGCCTCCGGGACCCTGGCTCCCCCAAGTCCTGCCTCCACGCCCCCCGTTCCCAGGGCACTGAAACTTGTTTTCATTAAACACTGGAATGTGAAAGAGTATTTATGTAAAGCACACTTTACATGTTACCTTTTTCCCAGATTTACTTTCTTAGTAACTTTCAAGTATATACTATAGTATTTTTGACTGTGTCTTAAGTCCCAGAACAAAGTCATGTAATAACTGGAAATTTGTGTCTATTGCCACCTATCCACTTCTCCACTCCCCACCTCATCCCTGACAACCTCCATTCTACCCCCAGTTTCTCTTTGATTTTATTTTTATTTTTTATTTTAATAGGAATATGTGAAGAGAGT